TATTTAAGGTAATAGAAGATAAGGGAGGATACTAGGAATCTTCGCTTGGGTTTGGGTAGTAGTCCAAGAGCCCGGTCGAAATTTTCTAGATCTTTGAAAAATCCAAAATGGCGCATATTGAAAAGAGTGTCAAATACATTAAAATTGCATTATTTGAAGATGATTTCATTCATGTCAACATGAAACTGCACGCCTCCCTGATGTGTACTTTTTAATACATTGTATCATCTTCAATTTTAGTCTTAATAATAGTACTATATATGTTCAATAGTGCCCTAGAAACCGTCTTCCTAGGTCACGTAAATAAAATAACTTAAACATAAAGAAATTTAAAAACACATACATACCTACAATACACTAATACTATTGTATTAGTTTTTCGGAAAATAATGCAGGATTTTAAGTTTTCTTTAGAATACTCCTCTATATAAAAAACTGTTTAGGTTTACTAGATTATACATTTGTATGAATGTCAACACTTATTAATCCTCTTCCAAACAATATTCTCTCTTTACCTCTGTAGCATTTCGCTTCTTAGAAATAATTCAGTTTTTAATAAGACGTCAACGCGCGATTTTCGTATAAATTTGTTTTACGAGTTTAAACTCGGCCCGGAATGGGACCCAGATGACCAGAAACATTAATCAAGTCTGGGGCGAAAGCAGCATTAATGAGTGCACTGTTCAACGGTTCTTAAAAAAATTTCGGGAGGGAAACTTCAGCCTTGAAAACAAAGAAGGTCGTGGAAGGACTTCAACTCTTGATGACGATGTTCTGCGCGCTTTGGTGGAAGAAAACCTTAGTTCAACTGTTCGAGAACTTGCAGGGAAACTTAACCTTAGCAAATGTACCGTAGATGGCCACGGCAATCAAGGCGATTGGAAACGTAAAAAGCTTGAAGTTGGGTTCCATACATATTAAACGACCGCCAAAAAAAAAAAAAAACAGCATTATGAAGTTTGTGCTACACTTCTTTGCCAACACAAAAAGGACCCTTTTCTGTCCAGAAATGTTACTTGTGAGTAAAAGTGGATACTTGACGATAACAGTAGACGTTCTGGAGAGTGGCTCGACGAAGGAGAAGAAGCAGAACATTTTCCAAAGCCCGAACTCAAAAAAATGCGATAGTTACTGTTTGGTGGGCTTCATTTGGTTTGATACACTACAGCTTCTTAAACCCTGGAGAAACCATCAATGCCGAATCGTATTGTAACCAAGTTAATGCAATGCATAACAAATTGGCTATAATGAAGCCATCTTTGATCAATCGGAAGGAGCCCATTTTGTTGCATGACAACGCCCGCAAGTTGCGCCATCAACATTTTTGAGGGGGCACATTTCGGGGAGGTTATGAATTCTCAGAATGAAAAGTTTCATACTAAGAGACAAGGGGAAAACATGTAACTTATCGCAACAAGTATAATTGTATATGATGATTTTTTCTACCTTAGCTTGTTCTCTTTTTAAGAAAAGGTGAACAATTAAATATCTTTGGAGTGGGAGGGATGGGCATCCCTATCCACATCCGCCCTACTCTCTGGACCTCTCGCCTACGGATTATCATTTTTTTAGACCTTTGGACCACTATTTACGTGACAAAAACTTTAATAGACAAAGGGAATTAGAAAATGCGCTTTTGGAGTTTATCGGTTCTAAAGATGGGATATTCTATTCAGAGGAAATTAAAAAGTTGCCGACACGTTGGTAGAAATGTATTGGTAGTAGTAGAAACTATTTTGATTAAATAAAACAGTTGTAAATCTTTCTTTCAAAACCATAATTCTGCAATATTTTCAGAAAAACCCAATAGAAAGTAGATTTTAATAATTATTTTTGTAGCAATAGCAGTTTCGATGATACTTGCTAGGATACAATCAAAATAGGGCGATTTCTCTTGTTTTGAATAAACATTTTTGAAAGAACTATTGAATATAAAGAGCTATATTAGTGCTCAATTGGATGTTGAAAATAATTTTCTATAGAGTAGATTATAATAATTGTCTTCGTGGAAATTACAGTTACCGTTATGGCGGACAAATACTGCAAGATTCCGGACTAATAGTAGGACCTTGCCGCTACCTCCTGGCAGCGCCACACGTGCGCGCTCACTGAATGTATCTAAAATATGTATTTTTATTTATTATTATTGTAATTTAAAAATACCCAAGTTCTAAATTGTAAATATGCATACATATATTGTGAATACTTTTTAATGATAAGTTTTTATGGTAATAAGATGTACTGATCAAAGCTTTTAAATAACATGCTAGCCTGTTTGATCAGAATGGAATGTAGACCACTGGCAGACCTCAAAATTTTTTTGGACCAGCATTGTTCGGGATGTCAGACCTTCCCAGCAGTTTGATCAGCATATACGCTCTTTGGTTCTACATCAACCTGCCTTTTATTTCTCTATTCTCCTTTAATCGTTCCTCTCTCCATACAAGGTCTGGGTGCTCATCCGTCCGTTTGTACTCCTATACACTAAGTCTGGAGGATCATCCCTCAGTAAGTATTTTATCCTCCCACAAAGTCTGGAAATTCATCCCTCCGTTTGTGGTTTCCGTCCGGCGGTGTCATGGTTCATCTCTTAGCCTTAGGGATGGGTTGTTACAGACTTATTGTATACCTGTTCCAACCCGTTCCATTCCCCAAATGGAACTGTTAAATGAAATTATTGATACCGTTCCAATGCCGTTACGCCAGAATTAACAACCTAGGCATGGGCGATAGCCGATAGTTTTCCACTATCAATAGTATCTTTGTTAAGTTACTTTAAAATGCTACATAAGCTTCAATTAATTTAATATAAAAAATCAAAATATAACATTTAAAATTAACGTTTACGTGAAATAAAACATTTAAAATTATAAATTTTATATTTCAATTTTTACATGATTGAATTAAAAGGTTCATTGATAATCCAATTATATAGCTCCAGTCACATAAATATGCAAATGCAAATAAAGTAAAGAAAAGAAACTTAAAAGTAACGTTAGTAAAGAAACTAATTACACGGATGAGTTATGCATATGCGATATTTTATTACAAACCACCTGTAACTTCCTCCCCCTAAAGTGATTAAATTACTAGTGAATTAGTGAACTTAGTGATTTGAAACAGTGCCATTTGAACAATTAACAGTTCGTTCATCAAATGAACATAATACAATGAGTAATCGTTTATTTATCAAGTTTATCGAACAGTGGTAACAACAATAGATTTAGGTGGAGAGGTTAACTATTGTATTGTTATCTATAAGCAGTCTCCCCCAATCATTCAGTAGCCGAACGGCTACCGGAGTAGTTGCGTCACGTCACACGGCTCTCCACCGGTCTACGTAATAAGTTCCACATCAAAATATGTTACTTTTTCAGCCAGATTATTTAAATGCGATATTATCACATGATAATGTCTACCAAAAGTGAAAGATCAAGAAGTTTAGGTCTCCTGTAAAGCAAAGGCTAAGGCGTTCCAATAGGAAAACACCACCATCAACACCTGACAGATCAACTGAAACCATTAATGATTCAAAACTGGTTCTTCAACATAAACAACAGACGAATTCTGTTTTTCACGACCAATCCATATCAGATATTATTGTCAGAAGATACAATCGAAGCAACACCAACCCCCCCGAGAGCCAAAACCACCTCCAATATTTGTTAGAAATATTAAATATTTTCCTTTATTCTGTCAGCATCTCAATAAAATAATTGACAACGGTAAATATATATGCCATAGTAGAACCAATGACATCAAAGTAATGCCGGATTCTCCGGATACATACAGAAAAATTGTGAAATATTAACAGAATCAAAGGCTGAGTTTCAAATGTATCAGTTATATGAAGAGAGAGCACTGAGAATATTGGTAAGAGGTCTCCACTTGATGTCTGCCAAATCATCAACGATTTTTCTACCATCCATCTCGTTACATATGGCTGAATAGAAAGACCGATCTCTTCGTCTTCTTTACAGCAGTCTCACCTACATAATTTTTATCTAGTTTCTGTGATAGTGTGTGCGGCAGATTTGATCTTACCTTCTCAGTTGTACATTCAGCTCTTCAGTATTTTCCTTGGCGCATCTTGCGTCATCAAAATGTTAGGGGGTGGCTTATTTAATTTTCAAGATGACACATTTCAGCGGGGCTATGAATTTTCGGAATGAAAAGTATCATACTAAGCGACAAGGGAAAAACATGGAACAAACTGCAGCAAGTGTAATTGTACCACCTTTGATGGACTAAGGGCCGAAATGATGAAAACAATTGGTGTCTATGGCCTCACGGAGGATGAATTTCTCCACTTAGTGACGGAGCAGAACTACCCGTATTACAAAGATTTTGTATAGGGTGGAAAACTGTTCTGGGGCCCTTACACTTTAATCTGGGAAGAGGACCTGCAAATCGAAGGCTGCTAAACTGATATTGTGAAAAGAAAATGTTGGAAAAAGAGTTTTGGAGTTTTCGTTGGAAAAACAAAATGAAATCGTTAAAGTACTTGCCGTATATAGCAGGAATGACATACACGTTGTGATATGCCATCCCTGCAAAATCCCGTTTAGCCGAAATGCAAGGAAGGGAGGAATAAATAAGTATAATTGTCCATGATATAAATTTTATCTAATTCTATCTTTACTTGCTCTGTTTTTTAAGAAGAGTTGAGCAATAAAATATCTTGGGAGTGGGGGGATAGGTTCTTGCCTCATCGACCTTGGGGGGTTGTGCACCCCTGGAGCTGGAAAACCAGGGCGCCGATCTGGAAAAGGAGCGCTCGCCACTTATTAGGAATCTACAAAAAAAAGTACAAAGCGTATGAGACTAATTAATTTTACCCTATTAATAAGGCAAAAGAATTAGAGACCTATTGAATGATACAAAATTAAAATGTTATTTGGTATTAACAATTTAAGAAAAATATTAATTTAATGGTAGATGACGTCATTGGCCCTGGGCGCCAAATGTCAAAAGACCGGCACTGCTAACAGCACCAAAGTTGAGTATCGTTGTAAAACATCATCGATTTGTTACTGTTTTGATTTAAACCGGTATTTTAGTTTATTTGTTCTATTATTTGCTCCGACTGATACTTAGAGATGGATCAGTGTGATTTTAATTTTAGGTGTGAAGTTTTTGCTCATTCTAACGATGTGCGGGCAGTATGTGTAATGGACAATGCGATTGTCAGTGGTTCTAGAGACTTGACAGCTAAGCTGTGGGCTGAAATCAGGTCCTCTTTTCTTTCTTGGAGCAATGTCCTTTGTTGATTACGTTTATTTGTTTGTTTATGTTTACAGTATGGACGTGAATACTCTGTATTATGTTTATTTCTTCAGATTCATTATTTAAGTATTGATGCTATCACCTTTGCTGTATTATAATTGTTTTTGTAGTGATGCTTTGGTTTACCTTTTGTAATTTAAATATCAATTAATTGATTTTATTTAACTGAATTTTATTATCAGAAGAATACTTTTATTTGGTTAATAATGGAAAATTCTAAAGCTAAGTCTTGAGCCTTGTGTAGTGATAAACTACTTAACAGTCAACCTTTAGGCCAGGTTTCATCAAGATTTATATTTTGACTACATTGTTGTTTTAATGGCATTACTGGAACTAATTTGTTATTTTCTCTCACAAAAGTTAATTTTGACTTTGGAATCATAGATATCAGGTACTAGTTCACTAGTGCTTTAAATGAATGGTGTGTTTTTGGACCAAGATCACTGCTATCGCACTTGTGGATGGAATGCCAAAAATATCTGTTTGTCAAAAATATTACAGAGGCAATTAAATTTCCTGAATTTTATTCATTTAAATAGCTATACTTTTTTATCACCAGCTTCACTTCTTCTTACCAATGAATATATATATATAATATTGAATGAATGTGTATACTGAATTCCACGTAAGATGGAGGTTCTATTGCTTGCTTATTGATGATTGAGTACTGAAGTTATCATTTTTATCTTTTCATTCAGAGACTTTTTTTTTATTTTGAACATAATAACTACGAATAACAATAATTACAAAGCCATGCATCTAAATAAAAATAATTAAATTTGAAAATTTAATTAAATGTTAAAAACAGTAAAGACTAAATCTTTATTAGGTAACAACAGAAGTTAAAAAATAAAATAATTAAGATTTAAAAATGATATATATAAATTCCTTGTGTTTAATCTTGATTTGTGGATGTAATAACTTATTTATTATTAATTCTGGAATAGTGGCAATTAAGATATAGACAAATCACAAAATTAAGGAAAGATATCCTTAATTTCTCATATAATGAAAACTCACAGAACATAATGTAAATATTTTGGTATGGAAAAATAAAGTAAATGAAATTTATGAGATAGAATTGGTTGGGGGGGGGAGGGGAGGGGGGGGTGCGGTCAAATTAAACTTACTTATTTAACTTGACCACACTCCCCGACCAACGCCTCATATTATAATCATGGTTAACCATCTCTACACCATTACAAATAGAATTTAACTTGAACTAATCTAATAACTTTGATATCAAAGAATAAAAATGGATAAAGTACAACCTAATCTAAAAAAATTGGTTTTATTGGGAACATTCAACTATTTTCGGCACTCTATGTACATCAAATTGATCTTGGCTCCGGCATCATCCTGGTGGTTGTTTAACATGTAAAGCACTGGAGTGAACCCCAACTGCCCTTGAAAACTACAGCAGTGGGCCAGGGCTGACTCAGCAGACTGTTGATCAGCCTCCAGTAATCTTCCCCTACAGGCCAGGGGCTGCCTGGACTTGTGTTTTCTCTGCTCCTGGAGACCACCCTGGTAAATTTTTTTTTTTGGCTCCAGCCATGTCTAATAAAGTGATGACCAACCATTATAATTCCTTTGAATTTTATTGAACTCACTAATATCTTTTTTTTTTCAAATCATCTTGTTAACTGTATATGGTTCTTCTACAGGTAGCAAGTAGTGCCTTACGGTTAGGGGTAGGTTGGACAAATTAACATATTCCCCTTACTTTCTCAGCAGACCAGAGCAGACCCTAGACATCACTCATTAGATAAGCAATAATACTAATAAAATTATGTCTTTTTATTCCAAATTGAAGTATTCTTACTTTTGGAATGGTAAGATGCTGAAATATTGAACAAAATATATTTAGCAATTTACAAAAGATTTTACTTTTTTTTGGAAACAGTCCCATAGCGCAATAATAATGTTACATTATATTTTGCTAAATTTCTTGAATATTATGTCTCAGAATTCAACTAAATTTGATCTATTCCAAATTATTTCTAATTTCTAAAATTAAATTAAACATTGTTAATATCATTGTTTTGGCCACCTTTTATATAAATCAATAAATAAATAAAAAGCTTAATAAGCGTATTTATGTTATATATTTATACTCCAGCTGGCTATCAACCTAGTAGGATGGCCCCAATATCAAGGGCAATCCCTTCAAGTATCTAGGTAAACAGCCGGTAGGTCATTTTCTCGCATGCTCTTCTCATTCATTTTTCTACACCTTTTGATTATGACAAGTCCTAAGCTCCAGGAGCTCAGAAGTGTAAGAATAGACTGAACCATTTAGGTTGTTAACCAGCAATGATAAATATGTGAATAAATGACAATTATATTTTTTAATAATAGTGTTAATAAAATCAATATTTTTAATTTATAGCTTTATATCTAGTGTCTTTTTTATTCAAGGAAATATTTTTCTTATTGAAGTTATAAAAGCCATATTAACAATTCATTTTTATTTATTTTTTGAGCAGTAATTTTTATTTTAGTATTGACCCATTCATAGTTATTTTTGATGGAAGTATTTATTTTTTAATTTAATGTCTTGTTTCCCTTTTTTATTATTAAAACATTATTTTATTTATGTTGGTATAGTAAATAACAGATGGTAGTTCTAGTTCAAGGAGAAGTTAGTTGAGGGGTATGGTCAGCATATGCACGCATAATATGGAGGAGTAACGTTTATTGAATAGCCTATGTAGTAAGTCTTCTTCAGAGCTGAAAAGAACAATATACAAAAATAAAATAAAATTAAAATTGATGTTAAATTAGTACAAGATATCAGACACATGGTATATATCTAATGTAGGGAGTAAAAAATGACCGATACTTGTCTAGTAGCCTTATATTCAATAATATGAATATAATACAATAAATATGAATACGAAGATAGAAATTATCAGTGCCTTATCAAAATTATCAATGTTCAGGTTATAAACATTGGCACATAGTAGTCGATCCCGACCGGCTACCAGACAAGTACCAAATGACCACTAGTAAATGAAATGAGTATAAACAGTTATACACATATGTGGGCATATAAATCAATTATAAGGAAAAATTAAATGGAAATGAAAACAATAAAGGGTGAAACAGAAGTGAATTTTAAAACTGATAGAGATGCATTATATTATAGTATATATACTGGTAAAGTATTGTCATCAGATCTGGACCTACATGTCAGCTGAAGACCTTGAGAACTCAACAGATGAGTCTTACTCATGTAAGAAAAAAAGTTATATCTGCCCCTCAGTTTTTTATTACAGCATATCTACATTTGTTGCATCTTTTTACATTTTGTACCTGAAAAACAAATGATCTGGACATAGCCTAACAGTGTTTTGTATTGTCTGCTCAACCTGAATTGGATTTCGTCACCAGATTATGGTGTTTATAATAACACTAATTGATCCAATTATATTAATTATTTTAATCTAAATTTTTGGTTAGCTTATGAAATAATTTTTTTAAAAATTTATTTACATGTAGTAGTGTAGTTTAATTATTTGTTTCTACAGGGGATGTTATGAGTCTTGTGCCTCCCTTAAAGGGCATAGTAATTATATCTCAGCTGTCTGCGTGCTTGTGAGTAGTTCACAGTTTCCCCTTGGTCTGATTCTTACTGGTGGTCATGATCACAAGATTTTTGGTTTTCTCCCATATACACAAGAACCATTATTGACTCTAGAAGGTCATTCTGGTCCAGGTATTTTTGGTATCAATAATTTTCAAAGTAAATTTTAATTATTTAAATATAAATTACATTTAAATATGTTTTTTTAGTGTGCTGTTTGTCACCTTCTTTGAAAACCGATTTTGTACTTTCATCATCATGGGACTGTACTGCAAAAATATGGGATGTATACAGACAGTGTTGTGTATTCACTATATATGGCCATATGCAGACAATATGGGCTGTTATTAACATTCCTACTGATTATATTGTCACAGGGTCTGCAGATAAAACAATCAAAGTTTTTAGTTCTGATCTAGTAAATATACACACATTGTCAGGTATTAAACTGAAGCATATGGTTTTATATTATTAAATTATTGTTCCTATTTATAATGTCCATAATTAAATAAGGAAGCTGCTTTTATTTGTAAACTAAAGATAGTGGAATCTGAGACTAAAAATTTATATCATCTTTCTCTTGAGGTAGCTGTGATGATGCTTTAATTCTGAAAAAAAACTACTGCAGTGGCTGCTTGATCTTACTGTCTTTATTAACTAATTAATAATTTTATTCATGATTTACATCATACAATTATGTTGTGATATAGCATTTCCAAGTCAATTTCAACCTTTTCCAAATCAAATTCAACCTTTTCCAAGTCAAATTAAACCTTTTCCATTTCAAATTCAACCTTTTCCAAGTCAAATTCAACCTTTTCCATTTCAAATTCAACTTTCGAATTTTTGTCAATTTTCGATTTTTTTCAAAATGAAGGCCACTTACTATATTATCGAAGGCATAGCTTTTGAAAAATACAAAAAAAAAATTGATAACGCGGTTGCATATCCATTTATTTTAACATTTTAGATTTTTTCAGTGTGATATTTCTATGTCATTTCCAAGTCAAATTCAACCTTTTCCAAGTCAAATTCAACCTTTTCCAGATCAAATTAAACTTTTTCCAAGTCAAATTCAACCATTTTCATTTCAAATTAAACCTTTTCCAATTCAAATTCAACCGTTTTCATTTCAAATGAATGTTTTAATTTTTTGTAAATCTTATATTTTTTTTCAAATAATGGCCATCCCCTCCCCCCCTCCAATATGAAAGTCTATTATTATGCTATCCTAAGTAGAATTTTCACTTACGGATATCGATTTATTGTACCTATTCGGATTTATTAGGGACTAGTATTATGCTGTCCTGTACCTAGTTTTGAAAATTAAGATTAAGTGACTGCGTTTAGAATCATTTAAGTTTTTTTGACTTATTCGATATAAGGGTGTATTTTTATCGTTTCCCGATCAGTAAATTTTGAAAATGACATCCATTTTATGTTTACGCCACTGTGTTTTGACTTATTTAAGTTTTTAGAATTTATGCAATATAAAGGTCTACTTTTATGTTTCCGGAGCCGTAGATTTTGAAAACGACCTCCATTTTAAGATTAGGCTACCGCGTTTCGACTTATTTGAGTTTTTTGGATTTTTTTTCATATGAGGGTGTATTCTTATGTTTCCGGAGCCGTAGATTTTGAAAACGACCTCCATTTTAAGATTAGGCCACCGCATTTCGATTTCTTTAAGTGTTTCGAATTTTTATCATATGAGGGTGTATTCTTATGTTTCCGGAGCCGTAGATTTTGAAAACGACCTCCATTTTAAGATTAGGCCACCGCGTTTCGATTTCTTGGAGTTTTCGGATTTTTTTCATATGAGGGTGTATTCTTATGTTTCCGGAGCCGTAGATTTTGAAAACGACCTCCATTTTAAGATTTGGCCACCGCATTTCGATTTCTTTAAGTGTTTCGAATTTTTATCATAAAAGAGTGTTTGTTATGTTTCCGGAGTCGTAGATTTTGAAAATGACCTCCATTTTAAGATTATGCCACTGCGTTTCGGCTTATTCAAGTTTTTCGAATTTATCCAATTTAAAGGTCTACTTTTATGATGCCGGAGCCTTAGTTTTTAAAACGACTTACATTTTAAGATTAGGCCACTGTGTTTCGGTTTTATTAAGTGTTTTTGATTTTTCCTTCGAATAAAAAACAAAATACGAAGGATTAATTTATTTTTCAATAAATAAATAAAAATATCTAATAAAAAAAAAATGTATTGTCTCATTTTTAATTTAATTTTAGTTATCTTTTTTAATGTTGTGATCTCCTGTCACAAAATTATAAGATTTCGAACAATTAGCTGAAAAATCTGAATACGGAAGGTTAAATTTATTACCAGCTGCTTTTCGGCTTTTTAGCTTGTATTCTGTGGTTAATTTAACTTTAGCTTCATAATATTTATTTATTTATTCATACTCGAAAACATATTGATGAAACTTTGTATTGAAAAAATCCAAAATGAAGCCTAATTATTCGAGATGCAGCGGCGTAATCATAAAATGGAGCTTAAATATTAGATAAATTTAAATATTAAAGATTAGAAAAATTTCAATACGTCTCGGATAACATAAAATTAGACCTTTATACTTGTCCAGAAACATAAAATTAGACCTTTATACTTGTTAAATTCTAAAAACTTAAATAAGTTGAAACGCAGTGGCGTAATCATAAAATAGAGGTCATTTTCAGAATCTACGGTTTCGAAAAACTTAAATAAGTCAAAATGCAATGGCTTAATCATGACATGGAGGTTATTTTCAAACTCTACGGCTCATGAAACATAAAAGTAGACCTTAATAATGGATAAATTAGAAAAACTTAAATAAGTCAAAATGCAGCGGCGTAATCATAAAATGGAGGTCATTTTCAAAATCTACAGCTCCTGAAACATAAAAATACACCCTTACATCGAATAAATCAAAAAAACTTTAATAAGTCGAAAATCAGTGGCGTAATCTTAAAATGGAGGTCATTTTCAAAATCTACGACTCCGGAAACTTAAGAATACACTCTTTTATGATAAAAATTCGAAACACTTAAAGAAATCGAAATGCGGTGGTCTAATCTTTTAAATGGAGGTCGTTTTCAAAATCTACAGCTCCGGAAACATAAAAATACACCCTCATATGAAAAATATCCGAAAAACTCAAATAAGTCGAAACGCGGTGGCCTAATCTTAAAATGGAGGTCATTTTCAAAATCTAAAGCTCCGGAAACATAAAAATACACCCTCATATGAAAAATATCCGAAAAACTCAAATAAGTCGAAACGCGGTGGCCTAATCTTAAAATGGAGGTCGTTTTCAAAATCTACGGCTCCAGAAACATAAAAGTAGACCTTTATATTGGATAAATTCTAAAAACTTAAATAAATCAAAACACAGTGGCGTAAACATAAAATGGGTGTCATTTTCAAAATTTACTGATCGGGAAACATAAAATTACACCCTTATATCGAATAATTCAAAAAAACTTAAATAATTCGAAACTCAGTCACGTAATCTTAAAAAGGAGGTTATTTTCAAAAACTACTCATACGATAACAGACCCACACATCGAAAAATTAAAGATAATTAAATAAATAAAAAAAGGTTGAATTTGAAATGGAAAAGGTTTAATTTGAAATGGAAAAGGTTGAATTTGACTTGGAAAAAGTTTAATTTGATTTGGAAATGGTTGAATTTGACTTGGAAAAGGTTGAAATTGACTTGGAAATGCTATATAATGAAACAGCAAATTTCATAATTTTTATTTTATATCTAAAGTGGATTTGCTGTTTATAGGCTGTCAGCCTGATTTTAACCCAGTGCCTTACCCACTATCACATTTCCAATTGATTTAACAAAATCAGACAAAATTTTGGAAGCTTTTCACAAATATGAACTCTCCAGACCGGAAATTGTTAAAAATACAAAAACTGTTCATTGGCACAGATTTCATTAACTTAATTACCAATGAAGTGTTCTGAGATGATTGCAGCCAGTTTTATGTTTGCTACTTAATAATAATAATAATACTTTATTTATTCTGGGACAAGTCCCTTTAGAATAATACATAAGGACAGTAATGTGGGCTAAGGAGCCTCAGAGATACATAAGAAGAAATGTTGAGTAATGAAATAGTCATATTAAAAATTATAAGTTACTTTCTAACTTAAATAAGTTAATAATAAAAAATTTTAAAATAAAGTAAAAATAATGAAGAACAATCTAATAATTTATATACATATTTTACAGTGGTATCTATTTACAATTTTATGATGGGGACTGGATGGATAAGAAATGATTGAACAGGCGGGATTTAAAGGTAGAAAGGGTATTAGATTGACGGATGTGGGAAGGGATGGAGTTCCATAAGGATGAGGATCGGATAATGAATAATCTGTCGAAAGCAGCGGTTCGGTGGGCCCTTATGTATAAATCAGAAGACCTGGAACGAGTATTGCGGGAGCGAACAGAGGATTTGAATTGGAGGAGCTCGGAGATGTATGAAGGTCGGTGGGATTGGATGACTTGAAAGAGGAAGGATGCCAGGAAATATTACGACGGTAGGAAGGATAAAGCCACTTCAACTCTACATAAAAATCGGGAAACAGAGGCGTCCCTTGGGATCCCGAAGATGAATCGTACAAAGCAATTTATCAAGCGTTTTAGTTTCGCCTCGAGATCCCCAGAGACGCCCCCATATACCGTACAGCAATAGTCAAAGTGGGGAAAAATTAAGGAAGTGACCAGGAGTCTACAGGTTTCAAAGGGAAATAAGTGACGGAAGTGGTTTAGGCATTTTAAGGTGGAAATGGTCCGGCGGGAGATGTTGGATACATGGGTTTTTCCAGGAAAGCATTTGATCGAAGGTTATTCCAAGGTTTTTGATAGTAGGGATAAAATTTGATGGGATTATCATGTAGGAAAAGAGTTGGAATATGTGAAACAGTTTTAAGGAGGTGATTGGAGCCAATTAAGATTGCCTTTGTCTTTTCCGCATTCAACTTCAACTTGTTGGCACTCGCCCAGTGGCAAATCTTATCCAAGTCTTCTTGAAGTTTTTCTGTGGCTGATAATAGGTCGGAGGGCGGGAAGGACAGGTATATTTGCAAATCATCAGCGTAGATATGGTATTGGGAGTGACGGATCAGGAGAGGAAGGTCATTAATGTAAATGGCAAACAGAGAAGGAGATAGAGAGGAACCTTGAGGGACACCACAGGAGAGGGGGAGGGTCTTAGATGGGAGTTGACCTGGGACTACTACATACTGGGACCGATTTGAACCAACGCAGGACACTGTTGGATAGAGGAAGATTGTGCAATTTCGTAAGGAGGATGTCATGGTCAACTGTGTCGAATGCTTTGGAAAAATCTAGAAGGATGAGGATGGTAAGGTTTTGGTGTTCAATGGAGTTTTGGAGGTCATGGGTTATTTTAAGGAGAGCGGATTGCATTGAATAGCCAGGTCGAAAGCCAGATTGAAATGGATTGATAAGGGAACGTTCTCCTAGGAAGTTGGAGAGTTGATTTTGGACAAGACGTTCTAGCAGCTTTGAAAGGTTGAATAGGAGAGAAATAGGACGGAAATCTTGCAGTGAGGTAGGGTTTGGAATTTTATTCAAAGGTCGGACTAGGGCAGTTTTCCAGGAGGATGGGAATATAGAGTTTTGCAATGAAAAGTTGTAGATATGGTAAAGAACAGGAATCAGGGCAGGAAGGCTGGATTTCATTAGTTTTACTGGGATATTATCAGGACCATAATCATTAGTGTGGGATTTTAGGATAGTGGAAAGTAATTCATCGTAGGTCACATGGGAGAAAAAGAAGTCTTCAGGATTGAAATTGTGGTGTTTAATATCAAAAGTAGGAGAAGAATTGTGAGTGAAGGATAGGAAATGGTCATTGAGATCATCTGGAGTCACCGGGATGGAACTGAGTTTATTGGATTCTGGTAGGGATAGGTTACGCAGTATTTTCCATTTGGATTTGGAATCAGGAGCATTGGAAAGGGCATTATGATAGTAGTTGGATTTAGCCAGTCGGATTGTGGATTGGGTTCCATTGCGAAGTTTCTTAAAAGACGCATAATCAGCTGGCAAACGGGTTCGGCGGTATTTGCGCCTTGCTGCATCTCTTCTTTTCATTATTTCTTTTATTTCAGGAGTCAGCCAAGGTGCAGTGGGACGACGTAAGGTTTTAGTTTTCAGAGGAGCATGGGTGTCTAATAAGGATTGTAGGTTTGAGGTTAGGGTAGATACCATAGGATCAATGGAGTCATAGGAAGATATGATGTCCCATTGGAAAGAATCAAGGTCAGGTTGTAGGGATTCATAGGACGTAATAGAGTAAATGTGGGGAAAATCATGAGAAGGAGACTGCAGAAGGATTTTGGCCTTAAGACTGTCGTGAACATACAATCCGACACCACTTCCCATGCGATTAGATCTGTCATGGTGTAGGAAAGAATAATTGGGTAGAGAAATCTGGGAGAAAGGGATGAAAGGTTTTAACCAGGTTTCAGATACTGCTATTATGTGATAAAAATTATCAAGGAAGTGATTCTGAAATTCATCGTAGTGTGCAGTAAGGGATTGTGCATTGATGTGACAGGAATTCAGAATATTAATCATGACTGGAGAGTTGGGAAGTCGGATAGGAAAAAGTGATCGAGGATGAAGTATAGGATACAACATTTTTTAAGCATAAAATCAAATTTAGAAATTTAAAAAACAATGTGAACATAAAATAAACTTTGAAAACAAATAAATAAATTTCCAGTATTTCGAAATAAATATTCTGTTAAATTAATTTATAACATAAGAAAATATAAATATCCCCTTTGTTTGGATAAATTGATAAAGATTGACAAAAAATCAGATAAAGTTCTAAGTAATTTATGCAAGAATAAAAAAAATTAAAATATTTCTGATGAAGAACAATTTATACAAAAATAAAAAATAACAAAAAAAATCTGCAATTATAAAAAATAAGAAAAAGCTGGAAAGGAAAATAAGAATATTTCTAGCAAAAAAAAAAATAAATTCACTGCAAACTGAAGGTGACTTGTATACAACGTTCACCTGAAAACGTCCAGATCGCTTGGTTTTCCTATGGTTACTACTGGATATCCATCTGACTTCCTGCAGCGAATTTTACCCCCACTAAACCAAACATACTTTATTTTTGCTGTTACCCTCTTCTGCCTGGCTAACCAATAAAGGTGTTTATTGGCGGGTGTCATAGCTTCACTCACGTAAACGCGGTGCGAGTTGTTCTCTTCCCAGCCTAGATGGCATGTAGAGAAATCTTTGTTGCCGCACTTATCGTGTAATTTATGGCCATTTTTTCAAATTTGTGAAAAGCTTCTGATGTTTTGTCAGATTTTTTTAAATCAGTTACCTATAAAAATGTATGAAACCATTCAAACTAAGTTTTCCCTGCTATTGATCACAACATTTTTTAACAGTTTTTTACTTTTTGAAATTAGCCTGCAGCCGAACCTCTTCCTGTTAGCTATCTGGCTCGATGGGTTTAGGTATCAGGGATACTTACTGTTCAAAATTGTCAAACCTTCTGCAGCTAATCACATAGTTAATTTTATGGTAGATCCTAGATCGTTACCTGTTATTTTGAATCTTAATATTCCTGTCTGATTGGATTTTCTCTTAACTTCAGTTTCCTCTCCATAATTGATACTCATATGCAACTACTAATTTTAATTTACTTGGATTATCTGTTTTTCATAGAGATAGATGTTTTCCATATTTAATATTTATTAATAAATTATTCTCAGCATTATTATGGAAAGTAATATCTTTGTATTTTATTCCCTACCCTGGTTTCCAAAATTTCATCCATTCACCAACTTATATCTATATATATCTATTACATCATATATCTATGATACCCACCTCAAGAATCTTCATACCAGTCCATCTGCCACTCATAGTTTCGTTCAACAACAAATCAGGATTCTGGATGAGACAAATATTGTCTACCATCGTTTGCATATCTGTAATCGTTGTTTTTCTTTTAAGACACAACTATGTTCATAAAATCTGTTTGTCCTTTTCCTACTGATAAATTTACTTCAATCTTTGCGGCATTCACTATATCAGACCCTTTTTTATCTCCACCATCAGGATTTATGGCTGAAGAATTAAAGGCATATTTCTGCTTCTTTGTTGGCTTTTCCACTAAAGCATGTCATCTATAAGTTTTGGTTGGATTTGTCCATTGACATGTGTTTCTGTGCCCACTGAGTCATAGAATTTGTTGCCCATTTGCTGTGATAACCACCTTAGTTGGAGCACATCATAAATTTCCTAATGTTGGAACCTTAATTGTACAAGCCTAACACCCTGTAGTCTTTAGAAGAACATGCTTTTTCCTCCTCGAATTTTATCCATCCATAAGCACCTCACTCCAGACGCTTGTGGGAAGCTGTCATAATGTCAACTGAACACCCACCACCTATACTGCATCATTGTTAAACAAAAATTATCCAATGAGGAATTTCCCATTCTATCGCGCAAGTTGAAACAGTTTTCCATCTCTTCATCTTCTGACAGCTGCAATTTAGTAGGAATTTTATGCACTCTAGTATTGATTTATTTTGACAATTGGGATGTTTTTGACTTTAACCTCCTCCATTATTGAATTATTGGAGAAGTTTTTGTATAAAAATACAATAGATTTTAAATCTGATGGCATACCAGACTGAAACGACAAGAAATCGCTCGACGTTTCCAATTACTTCAGCACTTACTAGACAAACGCTCTAAACTTCCAATTAATTACAAAAGACTCATATATATGACTATAATAAGGCCTATTTGGACTTACGGAGTTGAGCTAATGGGGCTCCACTAAACCATCGAATTCCTCTTGTATCCAATCCTTACAATCCAAAATCCCTCTTAAAATCCTCAATGCTCCTCCCTACTTTGTTATAAATAAAACCATCCATAATGACCTTAATGTTTCTTATGTTTCAGATCTGGCCCAATCCAGATCCCTATCCTTCCATTATAAACTTCAGAATCATCCCAACCCTCTCGTTTCTAACCTTGCATCCTCTTCAATTCCTGATAACCCTCCGAGGCGTCTGAAAAGAAGATGGCCCCATGATTTCCTAATGTAGACATATCATTAGAGTGCTACCATTGGGTAGTTACTCAGCAAGTGTTTTCATGTCATTATATCCATATGTTCAAATTTACTGGATGTATTTATTTAATACAGTTGTAAATATTGATAAAAAAAAAAAATTATGAATATCGTTGATACAAGTGCTATCTAATAAAAAAATTGCTATTTTTCAATCCTGCATGCTGCTTTTTGGAAAATTTTTTCCAGCTTCCAGGGGGGAGGCTGCCTGCACATACTTAATTGCTTTTTCGTGAATAGTTGTCGAAAAACAACACGATACCTTATTCTCCAGATTCACCTGATGTTTTCTCGTGTGACGTTCCTCTTTCTGAAAATAAAAAAAAACTTAAAAGGCTATTGTTTTTCATACATACATGTGATTAATAGCGTCTCCCTTAGAAAGTATTTTGGGGATTGAAAGAAGTGTTTAACATTTAATGGAGACTACTTGGAAGGTGACACATCATAGATGAGTAAAAAAAATTGTTTTAAAAAAAAAGGACAATTCCTGTTACTTTTTTAACACACCTCATACACAACCTGACCAAATTCAACCAATGCCATTGGCTCATCTATCATTCATGAATCATTCACATATCACAACTAATGCTTTTTTAAAATTCAGATGTATTTACTTTTTATTTCAAATTGAACTTTTAAAAATTTGATTTCAACAAATTATTAAATAAAACTTACATTGCACTTTAAATATCTTGTTGTTTATTATTTATTTAATGAAATTTACAACTGTATAAAAAATACAACCAGTAATAATGCACCCACCCATTAGAAATAATGACATGAACAGACTTGAAGAGATACTGCCCAGTGGTAGCACTCCCTTCTTTAAATATCAATATAATAATTAAGTGTACCAACAGTATCCTTAGTCATTATCTATATCATTATTTGGTTAAGATAAAAAAAGCTATGTATTCATTGCTTGTAATATTTTCATTTTAAGGTCATTCTGATTGTGTGAGAGGGCTGTCATATTTACACGAAACTCTAGTCATATCATGTAGTAATGATGGTTCTTTAAGAACATGGAATGTTAAGGATGGCAGTTGTTTGTCTATTTTGGAAGTGCATTCAAATTATATTTACAGGTAATTTACATTAAAACTGAATACAAATTATGCTTATATTCATAACTAGTTTTTAAGAAATTTAATTATTTAACATCCTCATCCAGTTTTTCATGCAAGTACTCATTGGATCATAAAAACAAACTACTTATTTTATTATAAATTAATTAATTTAGAACTCACATTCAGTCGTTAATATTATTATGGTTTATTTAATAATTCATTGTTATTTTAGTGTTAAGGCTGTTTTTGAAAAAGATCTCATTGTTGCTGGCTGTGAAGATAAAACTCTTTGTATCATTTACAAAGGCAAACAACAGAATATAGTGTTGCCTGCACAAAGTATATGGACAGTGGATATTTTGCCTAACTTAGACATTGTAACAGGATCAAGGTATGTACATATATATTGTTATGATATTTTTTATGACTTTTGTTTTCATGGTACATTCATTACTTAGTATAATTTCTTTGCTCAGTTTAATAATAAAATGATTGATTTTCCATGATTTTTCTTCTGCTTTACAATTAATGGATGATTTTGAGTCTAATTTTTCTCTTAAACTGAGTCTACTAACATATTATGGTGAAATGTCTTTTCTTCTTCTCTTTATATACCTTCTCTCCTTTGACATTTAGTTATCAGTTGTAACCCATTGGCTGCTATATGTATCTTTCAACATTTTGCTAATCAGTTCGCTGATTATACTGTCTTATATTCAGTACATATCTTCTGTGTGTGGATCATGTTGAAACTAAAATTGTGTTTAATGTTTCATTATTAAAACCAGTGTTGTAAATAATACCAAGACAACTCATTAAAGCACTGTGGATAAACTTCTGTTTTTAAAAACATTATAAATTATTTGCTATTTTTTTTATCATCCACCTATCCTACAGATACCCTACTAAATTGTCCTCATTCAATAAGGTTTAAGTCCATATTAATTAAGTTGAGGTTATCTCCAGTTTTGTAAAAAAATTATGTGATTTTATATCCCGCCACCTTAAAGTAATAGGATGTATACAAAAAATTGACCGTTTTTCAACCAAATATTTGTATTATTATTTCTCATCATCATCATCATCATCATAATCATTCCCTCTTCTACCGCCATTCGAGGTGAAGGTCCTGCTTATAGAGTCTGGCCCAGCTGTCTCTCTCCTGCACCAACTCCATTCTCCTATTCCAATCCATTCCACGCTTCCTGAATGCCTCCTTTACACTGTCCTCTCCCTGGAGATGCGAGGCCTTCCTCTGGGTCTTTTTCCCTCCGTGTGGGTCTCGTAGTTCTTCCTGGCACTTCTATCTGGATCCATCGTAAGATGTTTAAACCATCTTAGTTTGTGCTCCTCCAGAATGGTCTTCGCTGGTTTGATGTTGAGATTAGCACGTATGGTGGTGTTCCGTATCCTATCTCTCCGTGTCTTTCATTCGATTTTATGCAGATACCTCATTTTCATGGCCTGGATATGGCTTTTGTGGTGAGGGCCGACGATTCTGAAGAGTACGACAGGATAGGGACAAATGTTGATTTATTGACGGCTGGTTTGGTCAGCTTTGACACCTCTCTTTTTCACAGGAAACCCCGTCTGACCATACTGAACATCCTCCCTGCCGCTCCAATTCTTTGAGTCACTTCTTCGTCTATGTAGCCACTCTCATTGAGATGAGCTAATAGATATTTAAAGCTCTCGATCTACTCTAAATCTCTGTCCTCCAACCCTTAGTACCCACATTATTCTCCAGGGTTTCTCTCCAATTCTCATGAATTTAGTCTTCCCTGGATTAATCTTCATATTTACTGTGAATAATTCCTCTTGGAAGACTTTCATGTTATGTTGGAGGTCTCGATCATTGGCAGCTAGTAAGATGAGGTTGTCAGGGAAAGCCAACGGATAATAACTGGTAGGGTGCAGATTTCTGTGCCCTAGCTGGAATTTCCTCATTATAGGCTTGGTCCTCCTTAGTGCCAAGTCCAGAACCATGATGAAGAGCAATGGACTAAGGGTACAACCCTGTTGGATACCTAATGTAGTCTCAAATTCTTTTGAAATGTGGTTTCTGGTTCTGATTATTATTATTTCTATGATATAAAATACAATTGATACTCAAAGTATAGTCCATTGTTATCTACCATCATTTGCCATCTGTTATCCTATTGCTCGCAAAATTTCTACTTCCGCAAAATTATCAAATTTTTTCCCTTGAAGAAAATGGGCCATGGATATAAATAAGTAGTAATCCGATGGTGCGAAGTCTGGACTATATGGGGGATGAGGCAGGAGTTCGAACCCATGAAGTTCTTTAACCTTTTCTTTGGTTTAACGGGAAGTGTGAGGATGAGCATTATCTTGTTGGAATAAAATTCCTTTTCGGTTGATCAAAGCAGGATAACACTCTGACACCTTTGTGTACAATCTTACCAGTTGTTCACAGTAGAGTTCAGAATTCATAGAGCATCCCTCAGGGACAAATTCATGAAGAATAAAACCTCCAAAATTAAAAAAAACTCAAAGCATGGATTTTTTTTTTTCAAATTGCCCCCTTTCAACAACCGGAAAAGCAGTTTAACCGCGATCTAGCCATTTCTCACGGGTATTCGGCTTTCGCCAGTAAACTCACTTTTCATCATAGGTGACAATCTTCCTATTTTTTTTTTTTTTTTTTTTTTTTATGAACAATTTTTATTGAGAAAAAAATACATTTTGCCTCAATTAAGGGCATTGAGTATTTATGATGAATGAAGTACAATCATACCATATATACAATAAAAGAACAACAAGATTATAAGAAAATAAAATAAAATAAAACTTGGAGTAACAGAATAAATCAAACATGATACAACATTAGATAAAAACTAAAATAAAAAAAAAATAATAATAAATAAAAACACATTCAAACTTATTTACAATATTTACAGTCAGCCGAGGGAGCTCCGAGTCGGGCCTTTTCCCCCACGTGTGGAGGACAAGGCAAGACTCCAAGAGATCCCAGCGCTTCTCTCTCAGCCGCATCACTAGGATGGGAATCCAGTGGAGACTAAGAGAGGGCACTAAAGCCACATACGCTCATGACTTGAGTGGAGAAGCTGGCCATTGCCAGGACTCCAATGACGTTTTTACAAAAGATCTCGAGGCCACTGCCGCTTCAACCTTCGAGGAGGATTGTAGGGATGACTGGAACTGGATAAGGATTGTGCTGATGGATTAGGATGATAGGTTAGGTTCTGATGAAAATTTGAAAATCGGGATGGAATAACGTCAAGGACATAAGGGATGTTAAGGTCATGATATAAGGTTTTGTTCGTAACATAATAAGGAGCATTGACTATTATACGGAGGATTTTAGACTGGAAGGATTGGATGCGTTTGATGTTCGATAATTTAGTTGTCCCCCACAGCTCAAGTCCGTAGGTCCAGATGGGTTTCAGTATGGTCTTGTATATTAATAGTTTGTTTTCAATTGAGAGGTTAGATTTTCTGTTAAATAGTCTGTATAACTGGCCAAGTCGTCGGTTAAGCTCTTGTCTTTTAAGTCTGGTATGTGGGTTCCATGTTAGTCTTTTGTCTAAAAAGAATCCAAGATACCGAACTGTGTGTGAGGTGGGAAGAGGTACTGAGTTGAAAAGGATATGTGGACAGGATCTGCGTCGGAGGGTAAAGGTGACATGCTTGCATTTGGATTCATTGATCTTGATGCGCCAATTGTTGCACCATTGTTCTATTAGGGAGATGTGTCTTTAAAGGTTTAGGGATGCTGTTTCAGGGTCTGGGTGGGAAGACAGGATGGCGGTATCGTCAGCAAATGTTGCTAGAAGGGTATTAGGATGGGTTGGAATGTCAGCTGTGAAAAGGATGTAGAGAACTGGACCCAAGACACTGCCTTGTGGAACACCAGCCTCAACTGGATAATAGTTGGATAATTCAGTGCCGCAGCGGACTTAAAAGGAACGATTTGAGAGGTAGGAATTGAGGACTAGATACAAGGATGATTGGGGTAAGTGAGTTTTGAGCTTGAAAAGCAAGCCATCATGCCACACCCGGTCGAAAGCTTGCGCTACGTCCAGAAAGGCACTAGTGCAATATTGCTTGTTTTCAAGCGCAGAGGATATATGGTCAACAACGCGGAGACCTTGTTGAACAGTGGAATGTCTTGAGCAGAAACCAAACTGATGGGAGGGGATATTGTGGGTTTCGAGAATGGGTAGGATACGTTTGAGAAGGATTTTTTCAAAGATTTTCGAGAGGATCGGAAGTAAGCTTATTGGTCTATAGGATGAGGTATTGTTAACAGGTTTTCCTGGCTTAGGGAAGAGGATAATAATGGAGTGTTTCCATATGAGAGGAAAGTGAGTTGTGCAGAGGGTACAGTTATACAGGTATGTGAGGAACATGGTTGCTTTTTTGGGAAGTTGTCTAAGGATCTGGGAAGTAAGGAGATCGTGTCCAGGGGATTTTCGAGGTTTCAAGTTATTTATATGGAATTTGACCTCAGAGGGGTTGACAGTTTTAGCAGGCAAGGAGAGAGGAATCGGAGAAGAGAGGAGTTCTTTAACTTCAGCAGTGTGGCTGGGATGGAGTTCGGTGTGGGGAGTGAATGTTTTGGATAGATGTTTGGCAAATTCTTCAGCTCTAGTCTCATCTGACGAAGCCCAGGTTCCATCATCTCGTCGGAGTGGGTGGGAAATAGATTGGTATTTAAGGATTTTTTTGGTCACTTTCTAGGGGAGTTGTCATCGGTAGAGAGGGAAGAAAAGTAGGAATTGTAGGATTGGGATCTAAAGGTCGTCAGTTCTTTTTTAACCTGTTTGGAATAGTAATTATATAATTTCCGATCATCAGGATGCCTGGTTCTTTGCCAGAGGGTCCTAGATTGGCATTTGGATTTAATTAGGTCCGTAAGGTTTTGGGGCAAGGGATTCTTTTTGAGGGATTTTTTGAAGGGGAGTGGTGAGGATGCAGTCGAGACTGCTTGTTGGATCAAGGTGGTGAAGGAACTCACTGCATTGTCTAGGTCTTGAGGGGTTTTTAGGGGTACTCTAAGGTTTATTGCATCTGTTATTGTTTGGCGGAAAAGTTTCCAGTTGACTGGGCCTCTGATGAATGAGGGAGGAGATAATTTGGGATAGGCGATGCGGAAAGGGTTAGGTTTAGCGGACTATGGTCTGAGGAAAGGTCATCGAGCCGTGAAATTGAGAAATTTAGCGGCCCTAGACCTTTGTGAATGAAGAAGTCAAGGAGGTCAGGATTACGGTTAGGATCTGTTGGCCAGTATGTAGGAGTATCAGGAGAAAGGATGTTGCTATTATGGGAATTAAGAGCAGACAGCAATGTTCGCCCGCGGGAATTCGTGGTTCTGGCTCCCCATTGCTGATGTTTGGCATTAAGGTC